AAAGCACAAGTTTGATCATGTCAGTCATCTGCTCAGAAACACCAGTGGCTCCTGTGATGGGTGAAATAATGCCCCCTCAACCCCAAAGATGTCCACATCCTAATCCCTGTGAGAATTCCCCATGACAGAGGGGAATTAATGTTGCAGACAGTTTGCTAATTAAAGGTTGCTAATCAGCTGACCTTAAAATAGGGCAATTACTCTGGAGTACCCTGTTGTGCCCAATGTAATTACAAGAGTCCTTAAAAGTGGAAAAGGGAGGCAGACGGGAAGATCCGAACGACATGATGGGAGAAAGACTCAACCCGGCGCTGCTGGCTTTGAAGATGGAAGGGGGCTAGGAGCAAGAGATGTGGGCAGCCAGAGGCTGGAGGCAGCAAAGAAATGGCCTGAGAGCCCCCAGACAGGAACGCAGCCCTGCCAACACCTCGATTTCAGTCCAGTGAGATCTGCTGGAGGTTGGGCTTTTGAACTTCAGAACTGTAAGAATTAAATTTGTGTTGTTTAAGACTCAAGGTGTGTGGTAAGTGGTTATAGCAGCCAGAAGAAATGAATCTAGTTCCCACTCTCAAGCAAGGTAAAAGCCAAATGACCTGGCCCCTGTTACCTCTGGGGTCTCACCTGCCACCTTCTACCTTATTTACTCCTCAGCCACACTGGCCTCTTGCTGCAGCCACACAGCTCTGTAGAACGAATGCATGATTTTGAAACTTCATTTTCCGGAAGAAAGAGAGGAGCGGTGATTTGCGGATGATCCCCAACAAGGGCTTGAAGCCAGGGCTCTTGCCCAGCTACCAGTAGGTTATTGTTGCCATTATACTTAGCTTTCAATTCAGCTTCCTTCCCAGAAAGCCTTGTGATTAAATCTCCCCTGGCCACCAGGCAACGTGTTTAAATTCCTTTCTAACCAGGGAATCTTTATGTTGACCGTCATATTCTTTGCCAGAAGAGTAGTTCATTTCTTTCTGTGTGAAATTTAATGACAGAAACCATTCTTTAAAAGACAGAGGAAGAAATTTCCAGAGCATTGGATTGTGTACTGACCAAGACAGGCAAATTCCTTAGAAGACAAGCCCGGCTTTCCTTCAGCCAAGGAGATTTAGTGTGTGGATTTCTATTTATACCCTGGGACGGGGAGTGAGCTACACGGAAACCTGGACACATTTCTAAGTATTGTTGGCAATATCAACCTGAGTGCAAACAGCCCTCCTCTTTTGCTGACCTGGCATTTCTATTTCCAAACAGGAAGGTCTGATTCGTCAGCTTTCAGCCACTCAGTGGAGGGCTCCTGCTGGACATTTGTGCCGAGTCACTTTGGAGCTAGCTGACCAGCCTCCCTGTGTCCAGCCCATAGGTGTTGCAGGCTGTTCCAGGACTGATCTCTGATTCAGTCAGCTCTGTCATGAGAGCAGAGGTGGCTTTCCCTCACAGCTTGTGGGGACCAGCCTGGCAAATATAGCAGCCCTATCCTGTTGTTTGTATTTTATTTTATTTATTTATTTATTTTTTTGGTCTCCCCTTCTAGGTTGTGCTCTCAGGGTTTTCATTCCCAGGCCCTACCCCCTGGCCTTAAGGATAGGCATGTGATCCATGTCTGGCCAGTTTATAGTACCCAATCCCTTCTGACACTGATTGTTCTAGAGAGGGTGCTCATGGGGCTCAAGCAGGGCCCATCAGAATCCAAACCGGAGGAGAAGACACAGACACTGGAAGTAGATTCTCTCCTTCTGCTGGGGTGACCAAGCTTGGCAGAATGTGATTCTGGGGTTTAGTTGCCCAGTGGAAAATGTTTGTGCGGGAAGCGAAGCAGAGTCAAGTTAAGGTGAAAAGTGAATGGAGAGAGGGTTCTTGAGATGGCGAGTCCCTAGGTGCAAGTGGGGTAGGCTCTGTTTTCTGTTGTTGTTCTTGCCTTCTCTGAGCCTCCCCGCTGCCCTTCCCAGTGATATGAACCAGTACATTCCTTTCCCGTTGTATAGAAGGCTTAGCGTCTGCTTCTGTCACTTGCTCCCAAAGGAGTCTGACTAATACAAGGGGCTTAGGTAGGAAGAAACTGACAGGGCCCCCTGCCACGGGCAAGAAAGGTCTTAGAACCCATTCCTGCAGAGATTAATGCCAGTTTCCTCAAAGGGGTCTTCGGAGGGCCTGGCTCTCCAAAGTAATGTAAGTATATATTTGGCTCCTGAGCGTTCCTCATGAAAATCAGATCCCGTTATTTCCTATCCGCTTTCCTTTTAAAACATTTTGATGGCTTCCCACGGCTGTGAAGATAAAGGGCATGATCCTTGACCTCCATGGTTTGGATCAGAGGTCTGCAGATTTTTCCTGTAAAGGGCAGAGAGTAAATATTTCAGGCTTCATGGGCCATAAGGTCTATGTCTTAACTCTTCAACTGTGCCATTGTAGCCAAATGCAGCCATCAGCATAAGTAAATAAATGAGGGTGGCTATGCTCCAATAAAACTTTATGAAAATAGGCAGTGGGCCATAATTTGGGCACTTCCTCATCTGGAAGGTCTGGAATCTTGCCCTCCATTCATATATCCAGTTTCACTGGCCTCCAGTCAGAGCCTTCATGCTCAAACCCACAGGCTCCCTTCCTTCACAGGGCGCTCAGCCTGTCATATCCCCCTGAACCTGTGTATTCTTAACCACTATTACCACCCAGATCACTGCTCAGATGTTGTTTTCTCAGGGAATCTTCCCTGGTACCCTGAGACTGGGCCAGATTCCCCTGGTATGCTTTCCTAGTGTGCTCCACCTCTCCTCCATGTTTTGTGTCATCGTCGTAATTTTCAGTATTTCATTTGATTTGCTGTCTGTCTCTCCATTAGATAGTAATTTCCATATGTACAAGGCCCTGTCTGCTTTGTTCCGTACCTAGCATTGTGCTTAGTGTGTTGTAGTAGCATATATAATATATATTTATTAAAAGAAAAGGGGGGAAGGGAGGGAGCGGAGGAGAGAGATGGAAAGAAGAAAGGAGGAACCAGTCCTCTAAATCTGCCTGTTAAATGACTGAGCATTCAAGAGCAAAAAGATAAATGGATTTTTTTCTTATGTGCCCATTGTTGACATCAGTAGAATGTGTAGACTTAGTGACACTGGCAGTCCTTGTCCATCCAGACATTTGGTAGCCTTTGGTGCTTGCGGCTGTTCCCTGGAGGTGACATTGGATCTCAAGCTTGACTGTGCAGTTGGGGACTTTTTTTGGCAGTCCTTTCTCCCAGCATCCTGACCCTCCACATTGCCTTCTGTGTGTCCAAGTTCTCTGTTAGGGATGCCGATCAAGGTCAGCTCTCCCAGAGTGCCCTTTCCTAAAGATACGCAGACCTCCTGGGGGCAGATCCCAGCTCCAGGACATAATGGTTATATGACCTTGAGCAAGCCACCTAAACTCCCCAAAACTCAGTTTCCTCTCTGTAAAATGAAGGTAATAAAATTACCTATGACCCGGGTTATTGAGAGGATTTAATGAGGTCATATGTAGAAGTTACTTCATTTAAAGTCTGACATACTTAGTGTCAATAAGTTAACTATTAATAGCTAAATTTTAGAAAAAGAACCATCTGATTATCTAATTGAAGCAATTGGGCCCATCCTTAAAATATGTGGGGTCCAGGCTAGAGTACAAATGGTCTAAATGTTTAAAAATTATAAATCAAGCTGTTAAATTGAATTTGTCTTCTCCGTCTACAATGACAAATATGGCTTCATAATGGCAAAATTATTTTAAAAATTGGAAAACTATAGTTTTAAATGACTGAAAGTTGGCAAAATATCAAAGACAACTGAACTTAATTGTTATTATACTAGAGGCCCAGTGCACGAATTAGTGCACCAGTGGGGTCCCTTGGCCTGGCCTGTGGGATCAGGCCAAAACCAGCTCTCCAACATCCCCCTAGGGGTCCCAGATTGCAAGAGGGCACAGGCCAGGCCGAGGGACCCCACCAGTGCACAATCGGGGCTGGGGAGGGACATGGGAGGTTGGTCAGCTGGGAAGGGACCATGGGAGGGCTCCAGGGTGTGTCCGGCCCTTCTCGCTCAGTCCTGATCGGCTGGACCCCAGCAGCAAGCTAACCTACTGGTCAGGGTATCTTCACCCTGGTGGTCAGTGCACATCATAGCGAGCATTGAATGGCCTTAGCATATCATTAGCATATTATGCTTTGATTGGTTGAATGGCTGACCGGCCGACCGAACACTTAGCATATTAGGCTTTTATTATATAGGATGTGTGCTGTTGATGGCCCAGAAATATTTGGGTGAGGATAACATAAGGCATATTTTATGATTTATATATTCTGTATAACTTATTTTTTTGCTTTCATTCCAGAAAAAAATTCACTAATTATTTCATTATAATCAAAATATACACATAATTTATGTGCCATTGACAATAGGATCTAAAGGATTAAAATTAACATGTCATTATATTCACAGAGTATCAAATTTGAATATATTTCCATCAAAAATGTAAATGAAAATAAATGTTAAAAATAAGAATTGAATTGAATATTTTAGAAGAAATTTTATTTTTAAAGCTTGAAAAAAATCTTAATAATGAATAAAATGTTATAAATAAAATTGTTCAAATAAAGCTGCAGCCCAGCTGGCGTGACTCAGTGGTTGAGTAACCTATGAACCAGAAGGTCAAGATTCAATTCCTGGTTGGGGCACATGCGCGGATTGTGGGTTCGATCCCAGCGGGGGTTGTGCAGGAGGCAGCCAATCAATGATTCTCTCTCATCATTGATGTTTCTATCTCTCTCTGTCTCTCTCTCTCTCCCTTCATCTCTGAAATCAATAAAAATATATTTTAAAAATAAAGCTACAGTTTTTATTTGACATTTCAAAAATAGAATTAACTCTAAATATTTTTACAAAAATAAAACTATTCACAATTCCAGCATTCATTCTTTTAACTCAGTTGCCAAAATACTAGTAAATCATGTTACCCTAGATTTACAAATATATTTGAGTAATATGAATTTTTTTTTTTAGGGGAAAGCACAAATGCAGTCTCCCACTACCACAAATTATGCAGTCGAGTTTCCTGCATTTGTGGAAATCGCAGGGGTTAGCACTCCAGGATTACAATGGGGTGAGCCTCCCCCTGGGAAAAAAGACCTTGGTGATCCTGGTATCTCCCCTACCAGGTAAGGAAGATTTGTTTAATATTATGTTTCTCAACTGCCCACGTGCACTTTTTTGTGTGGTTATGTTAATTCATCATGACTTTAGAAACTACAAATGGAACACAAATAAAAGGAAGAAAAAGATGCTCAGCATTGGCAGGAAGAACACTGTACTACACAAAAATCTGTGTAATTCATGCTGTCTGAGAGGAAGGAATTGACAAGTTAATTAATCTGCCTTTTCTGTTGCTACAGGCTCCTACCACTTCAATCCCCTGTGCCCTCTGGAACAATGTCTAGCTCAGATGTTGGCAGCAGCAACCCACAAACCTTCACAGCACTGGGACCCAGGAGCCTTGGTTTTGAGGACAAAAGGTAAAATGTGGAAAAGTTTTCCCTGGGGCCTGAGAGGTGGTGGTCCCAAGAATGGATGTTTAGTTTAGGATTAGGGGTAGTGATGTGTCCGTTCTGAGCATCAGGTCCCCAGTGACAGAAGCATACACGTGTTACTTAATGTGTGTGTGTGTGTGAGAGAGAGAGAGAGAGAGAGAGAGAGAGAGAGAGAGAGAGAGAGAGAGAGAGAGAGAGAGAGAGAGAGAGAGAGAGAGAGAGAGAGAGAGAGAGAGAGAGAGAGAGAGAGAGAGAGAGAGATAATGTGGGGTCCTCTAGGGCAGGAACCTCTTTTCTCTGCCCAGGTCTTAGAACAGTATGAAAAGGAATTGCCTGGATGGTTGACTGATAGGTCTTTTGGGGCATTTGCATTGTAACAAAGACTTCTGCGTAAGCCTCAAAGAATTCCTGGGATGAATGGGGCCTTAGAAGGCAATTTTGAGCCAAGGAGATGTACATTGCCTCTTGCCCTCACTGTTCCTTACTGCCCTGTACCCATCAGAAGAATGGGGTTCTACAGCTAAGCATACTCATTCTGACTCTGCATCTGTGTTGTCTGCTTTAGCTAAGCACCAGTAGAGCCACAATTTAGTAACAAAATACATTTAGCAAGCAAATGTTTTAATTCTTTTTTTCCTGATTGATAGCAGAGTTTCAGGGAAGTACCTTGACAAGTAGCTTAATAATAAACACAGCAAAATAAAACAGAACTAATGAAAGAAAGTAAGATACTGATGTGCAGAAAATCTCAACACTGTCGTGTTTTGTTTTTTTTTGTAATCAGGAAAAAATTACCAAGATGTATTACTCATAAGTGCCTACTAAAAGCCTTTTTAAAATAAAGGTACTATTAATGGGCATCCTACGACTGAAATAAGCCCTCAAATAAAAATGAAGTTAAGCATAGAAATGGAGGCACAGAGATGCTAAGCAGTTTGCACAAGGTCACACAACTACTAAGTGGCAGGGACAGTATTCCAAGTGAGGTTCATCTGTGCCCAGATTCTGACCAGGTGACCACCATGACATACAGTATATAATACACTAGCTCTTTGTTCCTTCTACCTCACAACCAGAGGAACTAAAGAATCAACATCAGCAGACATTCAGAAGGACCCTGGCTGAGCATCTTTCTTCTACTTACTCTTCAGGTTCCCCCAAAAGACAAAGAAGTCTTATTAACACTGCAAATAGCTAATAAGCATGTGTTCAAGTGTTAGGTTAGGTTATAAGATGTTGTAAAGCAACACTTTCTGACTACCCTTTCCTATTGGGTAAAAATCTAACCACTGAATTTTGAAGTACTTGTTTCCTCTAATTACAAAATATTGACTTACTTCAGCTTACTTTAAGACGTTATGAGGTTAGTACTACAAGTTCGAAAAGTGCCAATAGGGCCTTGAATACAGTTAACCCTTGAATAGCCTGAGTCCACTTATATGTAGATTGTTTTCAATAATTATGTATAGTACTGTAAATGTATTTTTTCTTTACAATTTTCTTAATAACATTTTTTTCTCTAACTTACTTTATTGTAAGAATACAGTATATAATACATATAATATTCAAAATATGTTAATTGACTATGTTATTGGTAAGGCTTCTTTCTGGTCAACAGTAGGCTATTAGTAGTTAAGTTTTTATCATTAATTTTTAAGAGTTCTTTATATTTCTGGATTCAAGTCCATTTTCAGATGTATGATTTGCAAATATTTACTCTCATTCTGTGAATTATCTTTTCACTATCTTGATAGTGTCCTTTGAAGTACAGTTTTAAAATTTTGGTGAAGTCAAATTTATCTAGTTTTTCTTTGCTTGCTTATGCTTTTGGTGTCATATCTTAGAAACCATTGCCTAATCCAAGGTCATACCTATGTTTTTAGTTCTTACATTTAGATCTAATCCATCTTTTTAAAAATATTTTTATTGATTTCAGAGAGAGGAAGGGAGAGAGAGATTGAAACATCAGTGATGAGAGAGAATCATCTATTGGCCGCCTCCTGCACAACCCCCACCGGGGATCGAGCCTACAACCCAGGCAAGTGCCCTTGACCGGAATCGAACCTGGGACCCCTCAGTCCGCAGGCTGATGCTCCATCCATTGAGCCAAACCAGACAGGGCAGGTCTAATCCATCTTGAATTAATTTTGTATATGGTATGAGGTAGGGGTCTAACTTCATACATTTTCATGTAGATATCTAGTTGTCCCAGACCATTTGGTGAAAAGATTATTTTTTCCCTCATTGAATTGTCTTGTACCCTTTTCAAAAATCAATTGACCATAAATGTGAGAGTTTATGTCTGGACTCTCAATTCAAGACCTCAGAGCCTTTGCATAGGCAGTGTTCTTATAATAAAGTTCCCCTGCCTTCTTGCCAGACGGCCCCTTTATTCTTACAGGACTCTCTATCCTCTCTTCCAGGCATTGTGACACCCCTTCCTTAGACCTCATTGTTCTTTGCACATACTTTTATCCTTGACTCTGTCACTCCAAAGGGTGTTTAAATTTGCTAATATGCCTGTCATTCCAACTAGACTGTGCTTCTTGAATGCAGGGACAATAGCTCCTTATCACTCCAGGACCAGGTATTCAAAGTGTGTTGAATGAATGATTTGAATTCACTTGGTATATGTAAACTATGGGTAGAAGAGTGACTAGAATTTTATGACCATTAACCCTGGAAAGCACATCTGTGGGTATGTTTTTTATACAAACTGAAGAGGAGCTTTGACAATTATTGGATTCATTGAAAGTTTTTGACTTATTAAGAGCCTTGTCAGGCTTTATACATACATATTTAAAAGAAATCCATTTGAGGGCCTGAATGCATCGGTCAAATAAGCCAATGGTTGTCAAAACCTCTCTTTCCTTGGAACTCTATAGAAATTGACCTAGATGCTCATCCAACCTCTAGCAAATTCTGTTCTCATTTCTGCCAACACTACTTTTCCTCAAACCACACTTGGGCTCATTACATCCTCTGATACCTTTGAAGATGTTCATGAGTTTCAGATGTTTTTATCCTCACTGTCTTACTTCCTGGCTCAGGTCAAAATGTCTTTGGACTGAAGACAACTCAAGAGCTGGCGAAGAACATTTATTCTGCCCTATTTAGACCACATACATTTTTATAGTCATTCTCATCTGAGCAAGAGTAATTAAGACTCTAGACTGAGAAGTGTACAGTCCTTTCCACAAAATTGCTTAGCTAGGCAGACCTTTCTTCTTCCATGTTCTTCAGTTACCTCAAAGATCTCTGGGGGGGTGGATCCCTTTCCTAAAGAATAGGAGCCAAATGGTCTTTGGCCAAGGACAGTTTCCCAACACAGCATTTACTACTCCATTCATGTATTCTAATACACAAAACTGACACATACTTCCAATGTAATATGAAGGTTAGGAATCTTCTACTTTGAAACTATTCCACATGTCTCAACTGTGCCAAGGTTCTTTCAAAGGACTTCATAATACTTTTAACCACAAAGCCGCTACAAATGGCTTTGCCTTTGCATTAGAGTTCAGAGGTCACACGTAAACCTTGAATAAATTGCACTTAGTTTATGAAATCAATAATTCTCTTATTACTCTCTACTTGAGTCCTAAACTTTTTTATTAAAACATTTCTAAGTGCTCATTCTAATATCAAAACAGCAAAATTTCAGAAGACACTTTAGAGCCACAATCTATCAGAAGCAACAAAAATGAACAACAAAGGTCCACTTAGGAAAAACTGAGTTGAAGAGACGGGGAGGGAGTTAAGCTCAAGCCCTTCCTCCCCTTCCTCCCATGGAGTTTCTGTCACATAGAAATATAAAGAGACTTACCACTCCCAACGTTTTTTTTTAAGTCAAATAATTTTGGGAAACAATGGGCTAACCTCTGATAAGCAAAGTCATTCCTTACTGCAGACCAGGGAGCCTCTAATATGCTCATGGGTGCATTACGATTCTCAAGGGAGAACATTGTGTAATTTTCTCTAAAGGCATTTGACCATGGAACATTTTTGTTCCAGGTCATTTCTTCTCAAAGTTAGTGTTCCATGGAACACACTTTGGGAAATGCTGCCTGACAACTTCTATAAGAGTCTAACTCCTGGGTTTGCACATAAATTCACACTCCTTTATTCATATCTGAAAACCCTCCTCTTAAGGAACAATCATGTCTTAAGAGGAGAAATGTTTATACGGCTTAGGGCATCTGTGGTTTAATTCAGGGAAGTGTTTTCATGCTACTTGGCCAGAGCTAAGCCATGTCCTCCAATATTGTTTTGCAGTAATAAACATGATTATTTTCATTTCCATCTGTTGGAATCCTATGTCTCTCAATTAGTTTAAAACTCAGCAGAATTTTTTTTTACCGGGCTCATTAAAACCTCAACAAGACCCATTAAGCTGAGGTTCCTCCAGACACATTTTGAAAACCACTGCTTAGGTTAATGGGGAGTAGGTGGGCATCACAGAGTTGAAAGCAAAGGAACAACAAGATCAAATCAAGAGCTGATGGAGGCAGGGATACCTGACTGAGTCAGGAAAAAGATACTGGGGACCTGATCCGGGGCAATGATGGTTAGAGAAGAGAGGAAGTCATGGAGGGGACAGATTGGTAGGCAGGACTTGATGGCTGATGGCTCTGGGTCAGGGGAGCACCTGACGTGGGTGACTGTGAATAGAGCTACATGAAGAAGAATAAAGGGGAAGGTCAATTGTGATCTTTATTTGAGCTGTGTGTCCTCAACTCTCACGGTTAGAGGAGGGAAAAGATAGCAGTGGTAATAGAGAGAAGAGGGAAATTATGAGACTAGAGTGAAGCTTTCCTAGGGTTGGGGTAGAAAAGCATTAGGAAGGAACATGTGTTCAGAGAAGTCTTCACTTTGAAGCTTGCCCTTGGAGGTTGCCTCACTTCCTGTCCAGGCCTGCAATTTGGGAGGTGACATTAGCAGCTTCTCAAGCAAGAAAAAAACTTTTATTTATTTATTTATTCTTA